ATATATATATACATACATCTAGGTTTTTCTCCTTTTTCTAAATAGCTCTTGTTCTTTTTTATTTCTTCTATTGTCCATGGGGAAGTGGAAAAGAATCTTTCTCCGTAAGCCATGCGTGTCGTATGAGGCGACTAAAATGCCGGGGCAATGGGGCTAGTAAACCCCTTCTCCTGTATACAATTACTAAAAAAGAGAAGAAGAAAAACTTTATAAAACTGGGTTGCTTAAATGTGCGTGGATGTAGTGCGGATGACAAGAAACAGATGATTGCTGATGTTATGAATGAAAAGAAGTTGGATGTCCTGGCCCTAAGCGAAACAAAGCTGAAGGGGGTAGGAGAGTTTCAGTGGGGGGAAATAAATGGGATTAAATCTGGAGTATCTGAGAGAGTTAGAGCAAAGGAAGGGGTAGCAGTAATGTTAAATGATCAGTTATGGAAGGAGAAAAGAGAATATGAATGTGTAAATTCAAGAATTATGTGGATTAAAGTAAAGGTTGGATGCGAGAAGTGGGTCATAATAAGGTGTATGCACTGGAGAAGAGAGGAATGCAGAGGAGAGAGAGAGATTTTGGGAGATGTTAAGTGAATGTATAGGAGCCTTTGAACCAAGTGAGAGAGTAATTGTGGTAGGGGACTTGAATGCTAAAGTAGGAGAAATTTTTAGAGAGGGTGTGGGTAGGTAAGTTTGGGGTGCCAGGTGTAAATGATAATGGGAGCCCTTTGATTGAACTTTGTATAGAAAGGGGTTTAGTTATAGGTAATAATATTTTAAGAAAAAGAGGTATAAATAAGTATACACGATATGATGTAGGGCGAAATGACAGTAGTTTGTTGGATTATGTATTGGTAGAAAAAAGACTGTTGAGTAGACTTCAGGATGTACATGTTTATAGAGGGGCCACAGATATATCAGATCACTTTCTAGTTGTAGCTACACTGAGAGTAAAAGGTAGATGGGATACAAGGAGAATAGAAGCATCAGGGAAGAGAGAGGTGAAGGTTTATAAACTAAAAGAGGAGGCAGTTAGGGTAAGATATAAACAGCTATTGGAGGATAGATGGGCTAATGAGAGCATAGGCAATGGGGTCGAAGAGGTATGGGGTAGGTTTAAAAATGTAGTGTTAGAGTGTTCAGCAGAAGTTTGTGGTTACAGGAAAGTGGGTGCAGGAGGGAAGAGGAGCGATTGGTGGAATGATGATGTAAAGAGAGTAGTAAGGGAGAAAAAGTTAGCATATGAGAAGTTTTTACAAAGTAGAAGTGATGAAATGGAGGGAGAGTATATGGAGAAAAAGGGGAGAAGTTAAGAGAGTGGTGAAGCAATGTAAAAAGAGAGCAAATGAGAGAGTGGGTGAGATGTTATCAACAAATTTTGTTGAAAATAAAAAAAGTTTTGGAGTGAGATTAAAAGTTAAGAAAGCCTAGAGAACAAATGGATTTGTCAGTTAAAATAGGAGAGGAGAGTTATTAAATGGAGAGTTAGAGGTATTGGGAAGATGGAAGGAATATTTTGAGGAATTGTTAAATGTTGATGAAGATAGGGAAGCTGTGATTTCGTGTATAGGGCAAGGAGGAATAACATCTTGTAGGAGTGAGGAAGAGCCAGTTGTGAGTGTGGGGGAATTTCGTGAGGCAGTAGTAAAATGAAAGGGGGTAAGGCAGCCGGGATTGATGGGATAAAGATAGAAATGTTAAAAGCAGGTGGGGATATAGTTTTGGAGTGGTTGGTGCAATTATTTAATAAATGTATGGAAGAAGGTAAGGTACCTAGGGATTGGCAGAGAGCATGCATAGTTCCTTTGTATAAAGGCAAAGGGATAAAAAAGAGTGCAAAAATTATAGGGGGATAAGTCTGTTGAGTGTACCTGGTAAAGTGTATGGTAGAGTTATAATTGAAAGAATTAAGAGTAAGACGGAGAATAGGATAGCAGATGAACAAGGAGGCTTTAGGAAAGGTTAGGGGGTGTGTGGACCAGGTGTTTACAGTGAAACATATAAGTGAACAGTATTTAGATAAGGCTAAAGAGGTCTTTGTGGCATTTATGGATTTGGAAAAGGCGTTATGACAGGGTGGATAGGGGGGCAATGTGGCAGATGTTGCAAATGTATGGTGTAGGAGGTAGGTTACTGAAAGCAGTGAAGAGTTTTTACGAGGATAGTGAGGCTCAAGTTAGAGTATGTAGGAAAGAGGGAAATTTTTTCCCAGTAAAAGTAGGCCTTAGACAAGGATGTGTGATGTCACCGTGGTTGTTTAATATATTTATAGATGGGGTTGTAAGAGAAGTAAATGCGAGGGTCTTGGCAAGAGGCGTGGAGTTTTAAAAGATAAAGAATCACACACAAAGTGGGAGTTGTCACAGCTGCTCTTTGCTGATGACACTGTGCTCTTGGGAGATTCTGAAGAGAAGTTGCAGAGATTGGTGGATGAATTTGGTAGGGTGTGCAAAAGAAGAAAATTAAAGGTGAATACAGGAAAGAGTAAGGTTATGAGGATAACAAAAAGATTAGGTGATGAAAGATTGAATATCAGATTGGAGGGAGAGAGTATGGAGGAGGTGAACGTATTCAGATATTTGGGAGTGGACGTGTCAGCAGATGGGTCTATGAAAGATGAGGTGAATCATAGAATTGATGAGGGAAAAGAGTGAGTGGTGCACTTAGGAGTCTGTGGAGACAAAGAACTTTGTCCTTGGAGGCAAAGAGGGGAATGTATGAGAGTATAGTTTTACCAACGCTCTTATATGGGTGTGAAGCGTGGGTGATGAATGTTGCAGCGAGGAGAAGGCTGGAGGCAGTGGAGATGTCATGTCTGAGGGCAATGTGTGGTGTGAATATAATGCAGAGAATTCGTAGTTTGGAAGTTAGGAGGAGGTGCGGGATTACCAAAACTGTTGTCCAGAGGGCTGAGGAAGGGTTGTTGAGGTGGTTCGGACATGTAGAGAGAATGGAGCGAAACAGAATGACTTCAAGAGTGTATCAGTCTGTAGTGGAAGGAAGGCGGGGTAGGGGTCGGCCTAGGAAGGGTTGGAGGGAGGGGGTAAAGGAGGTTTTGTGTGCGAGGGGCTTGGACTTCCAGCAGGCATGCGTGAGCGTGTTTGATAGGAGTGAATGGAGACAAATGGTTTTTAATACTTGACGTGCTGTTGGAGTGTGAGCAAAGTAACATTTATGAAGGGATTCAGGGAAACCGGCAGGCCGGACTTGAGTCCTGGAGATGGGAAGTACAGTGCCTGCACTCTGAAGGAGGGGTGTTAATGTTGCAGTTTAAAAAATGTAGTGTAAAGCACCCTTCTGGCAAGACAGTGATGGAGTGAATGATGGTGAAAGTTTTTCTTTTTCGGGCCACCCTGCCTTGGTGGGAATCGGCCGGTGTGATAATAATAAATAAATAAGAGTCAGAAAGGAAAAACAACTATTTTGTGCACTTATTTTTATCAGTTACTAACTTATTTCTTGTTCTTATGGTACAAAGTAGCTGTGTGACCCTTATGGGTAGTGCTTAGTTGTTGTTATTATTATTATTATTATTATTATTATTATTATTATTATTATTATAATAATAACAACTTAGTTATTACTATAATAATAATAATACTAAAAATAATGGTACCAAGTACTAGTGTTAACCAGTCCTTCTTTGTCTCTGACCATTTTAATAAAATCTGCAGTTAAATGCAAATACAGTGGACCCCCGCATAACGATTACCTCCGAATGTGACCAATTATGTAAGTGTATTTATGTAAGTGTGTTTGTACGTGTATGTTTGGGGGTCTGAAATGGACTAATCTACGTCACAATATTTCTTATGGGAACAAATTCGGTCAGTACTGGCACCTGAACATACTTCTGGAGTGAAAAAATATCGTTAACCGGGGGTCCACTGTACATTACTGAATGATGAAATGTTTCATTCTTTCACTTCAGCTATTGTAATCCATTTTCTTCCATGGTCACAATGTCTGAATTTATCAGTTTAGGTACTTTACAGTATTTGTTTTGAAGTTTGACAAAATCCAATGGTTACATTGTATTATTTTGAATCCATTTGGGGATGCAGTCTGATTTGCAACTTTATTAAAAAAACTGCAAACCATGAGTAATAGAGTAAGTGAAATCTATTGAGAATTTACAAGAATATTGTGGCATATGAGAGACATTGCAAGAAACTGTTGGATATGAAAACTTTTAAGAGCATTTTTATTATTTATTTTTTTATTATCACACTGGCCAATTCCCACCAAGGCAGGGTGGCCCGAAAAAGAAAAACTTTCACCATCATTCACTCCATCACTGTCTTGCCAGAAGGGTGCTTTACACTACAGTTTTTAAACTGCAACATTAACACCCCTCCTTAAAAAGTGCGGGCACTGTACTTCCCATCTCCAGGACTCAAGTCCGGCCTGCTGGTTTCCCTGAATCCCTTCATAAATATTACTTTGCTCACACTCCAACAGCACGTCAAGTATTAAAAACCATTTGTCTCCATTCACTCCTATCAAACACGCTCACACCTGCCTGCTGGAAGTCCAAGCCCCTCGCACACAAAACCTCCTTTACCCCCTCCCTCCAACCTTTCCTAGGCCGACCCCTACCCCACCTTCCTTCCACTACAGACTGATACACTCTTGAAGTCATTCTGTTTCGCTCCATTCTCTCTACATGTCCGAACCACCTCAGCATTTTTATGTACAAATTATCACTTCTGATATGATATTATAGTGTAGATGTAAAGTTGTTATAGTCATGGGGAAGTCTTAAAACTTGTAGAGTCCATACATTGTATGGGAAATGGGAGGTAATCAGGTTTATCTCTGGTTGGTAAGGGCTCTTAAATTTCTTAGAGCAAGAACTCTTCACCAGCATCTTTATATTGCTTTTGCTAAACTGCGTAATAACAAACTAAGCTTTACGTATTGCGGCACGTACCACTACTGCATCTACAGGTACTCTTCTTGTGAATTATTCCCTATACTGTATCAGAATTTGCTTTTCTTCCACAGGGTGTGGCTGTTAAAGAGGCATATCCAGGCTGGGCCATGTTTGTATGCCTGGTCCTCCTCATGGCTGGCTTCTTGCCCATTCCGATTATTTACTTCATGCGACGTTGTCAGTGTATCCGCTTTGACACTGATATTCATCAAGCCTCAATCAAGAGAGTGGAGACCACAATTTCTACTCAAGGCATGATTAAGGGTGAAGAGGTAAGCTAATCAAATTTTGCATATACTGTACATGTAGTTGATTTTGCTTGAAGTTGTGAAAAACTTAATCATATTCCTTTTGTAGTTTGTGTGTGTATGTGTGCGTATGTAAGTTTTTTGTAGTGACTTTAAAAATAGCCTGAGGATTAACCAGACATAGCTTTAACAGATAAGTAATACAGGATAAAGTCTTACATAGCTTGAACAGATAAATATTACAGGATATATTACTACTAAATGAAGCAGAACTAGTTATTATTGGACCTGTTTCACCCTTGTAGCTAAAAGCAGCATTTGTGCAAATAATAAATTTTATAATTAAGTGCAGCATACCCAAATAATAATTTACTTACCAAAAATATGCATCTCATAGCCCCTGGTATCTTTTACAAGTATGAACACACTAGTTCTTTAACTGGCTAGTGGGGGGGGGGGACTTAACTTTGTCAGATGTATAGTCTGCACAAATCTGTAACTTTTTTAATATTAATTTTAAGAATTCATAATGCAAAAAATAAGATTTTTTATAACACTATTAAAAAATAAATCATATAACTTGCATCATGCAAAGTTTTGATTATTTCAAGAAGTTATGAGCAAATAATGCACAGACAGTTGGCAGGTATGCTAGAAATGGTTTTTAGTGTTTTTGAACAAATGTTAGATTTGTAAATAACTGTGACTCCAGAATAATTTTTGCTTTTAACCAAAAAATATATAATTTATGTAAATGATGCCAAACTGATTTACGATTGGTAAACTTGAAGGTTTGCTGAATGACATGTGGAGTACATGATGTATGGTATGTTAGTCAAAAAAAATTACAGTAAAGAATTACTCCAGGAAGCGGCATTAGGAAAAGAAAATTTTTTTAATATGAGACAAGTAAATTGGTAGTGCAACTGTAAAGATTTATGAATATTGTATTGAATTACACCATAAGGAATGACAAGAGATGCTAAAAAGTGGAAAACAATATTGTATTGCAAGGAAGAATGGACATGAAAGTCAAATATTTTTTAAAATTTTGCATTTTGATGATACTTCAATGCTTCCTCCAAACAATTCGGGCTTTCATTCTTATGTTTTCATAAGGCATCACTAATTTCAAAAATTCATGTAAAGTGTATTTTTACATCAGTATGTGTCTGTGATGATTGGGAATGCCTGCCATATCTATACCCTTGGTTATCAACAGTGTATCTTCACAAATTCTGATAATTTTCAATTGAACCTTATTAGAACTAACGATCATGATCTGTTGGTATATAATCCATCACCATTATATCTTTAAATTCATCTGCTAGCTCTAATAAATAAGCAGAGATTGACAAACTAACACTACAAGTTAGTGAAAGTTGTTAGTGTCTTTTCACTATACCATTTCCATCACCATCATTCTCATCACCACTCCCATTACCATCATTCTCATCACCACTCCCATCACCATCATTCTCATCACTCCCATCATCGTTTTCATCACTACTCTCGTCACTATCCTCATCACTACTCCCATTGCTAACACCTAAGTGGCAGCTGCTTGAAACTTTTACATGTTACCAGTAATCCTGTCTTGTCCTTTCTCCCTAAGATTTAGTTTGCTCAATATTCCTTTGCAATTTACACATCTCTTTCCTTCTTTAAATATTTTAAACAAAACCTCCAGTAAACGAAACTTAAATGCAGTGAATACTTTTGTTGACAATGGTGTTTTGCTCATGCAGGAGTTCCATCAGATTGGTTCCATTCCATTTCCAAAATCTTCCACTGCCACTTGGTCACCCTATCTTGGTGGCAGTGTTTGAGTAGCTTAGCCTGACTAAGAACCCAGCAATCCCTGCTTCTCCATTCATTAAATTTTGCTCTTGCACAGTAGGGAAGGGGTTATTGTCTGTTACCCTCTTTGTCATATTGGCACTGCACTACCCAAAAGAGACTGGACCATCAGATGGATCTAGTGAACCATCTGATGACACATCAGGTGCCTGTCTGGCGGTAAAAATATTACTGAAGTTCATTTATGCATCCAGGAGTGGTTACAGATGGAGTGCAACTCTCTATGATTATAAAAACTATATTTCAAATTTTGGTATAGCCTAGTGTTCATCAGTACTGTAAATTGTTATTTTGAGTTGCAATTTACCCTCATGACGGAATCTAATTCTGAGTTGCAATGAAAAATTTGAGGTATGATGTGTGTACGATGGTCGGCACTCGTGGGTGGGACCTGGTCAACCAGCAGTGCGATAGCTTTCCTCTTGGGCAATGTCTGAGCCAATAGGAGCATCAGTGGAGGTGGCTTAGTAGCCAGTCAGCCGGTCAGATCAGCCGGGCTGTGGCTCGTACGTTGGTTTGCGTGCAGCCAGCAGCAACAGCCTGGTTGATCAGGCTCTGATCCACCAGGAGGCCTGGTCACAGACCGGGCCGCGGGGGCGTTGACCCCCGGAACTCTCTCCAGGTCTCCAGGTAAACACCAGCCAATTCCCACCAAGGCAGGGTGACCCCATCACTGTCTTGCCAGAAAGATGCTTTACACTAAAGTTTTTAAACTGCAACATTAACACCCCTCCTTCAGAGTGCAGACACTGTACTTCTCATCTCCAGGACTCGAGTCCGGCCTGCCGGTTTTCCTGAATCCCTTCATAAATGTTACTTTGCTCACACTCCAACAGCACGTCAAGTATTAAAAACCATTTGTCTCCATTCACTCGTATCAAACATGTTCACGCATGCTCGCTGGAAGTCCAAGCCCCTCGCACACAAAACCTCCTTTGCCCCCTCCCTCCAACCTTTCCTAGGCCGACCCCTACCCCGCCTTCCTTCCACTACAGACTGATACACTCTTGAAGTCATTCTGTTTTGCTCCATTCTCTCTACATGTCTTAACCACCTCAACAACCCTTTCTCAGCCCTCTGGACAACAGTTTTGGCAATCCCGCACCTCCTCCTAACTTCCAAACTACGAATTCTCTGCATTATATTCACACCACACATTGCCCTCAAACATGACATCTCCAGTGCCTCCAGCCTTCTCCTCGCTGCAACATTCATCACCCATGCTTCACACCCATATAAGAGTGTTGGTAAAACTATACTCTCATACATTCCCCTCTTTGCCTCCAAGGACAAAGTTCTTTGTCTCCACAGACTCCTAAGTGCACCTCTCACCCTTTTCCCCTCATCAATTCTATGATTCACCTCATCTTTCATAGACCCATCCGCTGACACGTCCACTCCCAAATATCTGAATACATTCACCTCCTCCATACTCTCTCCCTCCAATCTGATATCCAATCTTTCATCACCTAATCTTTTTGTTATCCTCATAACCTTACTCTTTCCTGTATTCACTTTTAATTTTCTTCTTTTACGTACCCTACCAAATTCATCCATCAACCTCTGCAACTTCTCTTCAGAATCTCCCAAGAGCACAGTGTCATCAGCAAAGAGCAACTGTGACAACTCCCACTTTATGTGTGATTCTTTATCTTTTAACTCCACGCCTCTTGCCAAGACCCTCGCATTTACTTCTCTTACAACCCCATCTATAAATATATTAAACAACCACGGTGACATCACACATCCTTGTCTAAGGCCTACTTTTACTGGGAAATAATCTCCCTCTTTCCTACACACTCTAACTTGAGCCTCACTATCCTCGTAAAAACTCTTCACTGCTTTCAGTAACCTACCTCCTATACCATACACCTGCAACATCTGCCACATTGTCCCCCTATCCACCCTGTCATATGCCTTTTCCAAATCCATAAATGCCACAAAAACCCCTTAGTCAGTGATGGGAATGAATATCTCTGGAGTAACATTTCATCCAATAACAGCATTGGTACTAGTCTGTTTCCTCTTCAGTTTGTTGCTTAAATCCCTCCCACCCAACACCACTCCCTAGCCTCACCCCATGGACCAGCAAGTGATTGCAAATTTAAAAATTTACACTACCCTGTGGTATATAAGTTTTAGGTGTAGTTAGCCCATTTCAGTGTGCAGCACATGAATATGGAGCTCTTTTGGCACCCATGACATGTTAGTATTCGAGGAAATGAGCAGACACATGCCAAGGGAATGGCTGCTGTTATTAGCTTAGTGTATAGTAAACTTCTGTCATAGTAATTTCATGGATCAGATACATACGTATGTCCTTAGGAAGTGGTGAGCTCAGTGGGCTTTACAGACAAGAAGAAAGTTATATGTGGTTTGGCACAGTGTGGGTGCTTGATCATCCTCCTTCAACAGGAATCTTCACTTAGAGAAAATCTGTCAGTTGAGGGTTGGGTACACACATCTTTCCCATAGTTACCTATCTGCAGTTGCTCCTGCTTCTCTCTCTGTAGCTTGTAGTGTGCAGATGACTGTGGAACATGGAACACATTATTAACTGTTTGCCTACAGTTTAAGCATTTTTGCTTTTGTCGTGGTTTTTAATTACAGCTGCACTAGCAGGGATTTCTGGGAAGCTTTTATAAGAGGCTTTTGACATTAACAATTTAATGCGATTTTCAACTAATTTGGTTATTTTAACTCGGTGTGATAGTATTTATTTGTACTGAATGGTATTCATGATAGTAGTCTTGTATTGTTTGTTAATTTTTTATCTCACATTTGTGTTGCATTAATTTTTTCTGTTGCTGAGAACAATGAACGATCTACATAGTCAAATGTCTCGCCAAGTTTCAAAACTACCAGTACCTGCCTACCAGTTCCAAAGTAATCACCATATATTGTGCTGCCATTTTTGTTTTTCCACAATGGTGAGAACTGACTGAGGATAACACAAGCTGGCCCATATCTCATTTACAGTTATTTATGCATTTACCTTCTGCCTTCTTTGTCATGGGGAAATCATTTACAGATACAAATCTTTCTTTCTTTCAACACACCGGCCGTATCCCACCGAGGTGGGGTGGCTCAAAAGGAAAAACGAAAGTTTCTCCTTTTACATTTAGTAATATATACAGGAGAAGAGGTTACTAGCCCCTTGCTCC